GGACTCCTCAGCAGTGCAGCTGTCCAAGTTACCTCCACTCCCGTGACCTCTACACACTCCACTCCTTTATTCATCAAGCAGGGCTAGGTGGAATCTTTCTTTGATCTGTTTGCTTCCTCCTTATTTGGAGTGAATAGACACTTCTTTTATGTCTCCCCAGTGGAAGATTGTGAGCTACACCAAGCTCTTGGTGGGGTAGCCCTCTCAGTGGAGTGCAGTTACATAGTCATTTTCTGTTGGGTGGCTTTTTTTTTTTTTTTTCCCCTCTGGGGAGACTTGACCAAATGCCCAGTCAGCCAGATAGAGCACCAGCCACAGACAGAAGAAACAACTTCTCCGGAGTCTACCTTGGTGAGCCAGTGAGTTCATTGGACTTCTTTTAGGAGCGAGTTTCTAAGGAGTTACTTCAGGATGACTAAAAGGCAGCACATGGGTGAGGGCTCATAAGGCTCTGTGCCTGCCCAACTTGCCAGCATTTCAACTGGCAGGAGTCTCTCCCTAGCTGTTGTACCAGAGTCAGAGGATGACACCTGGGTGGCTTTCAGAAGCAAGGCCTGGGAATAGCATTTACCATTCTTCTTATAGTCTGCTTGCTAATACTAGTACTATGGGCATTTTAGGGGGGCTGGAACTGTAGTTCATCTGCTTGACCATAGTGAGTGTTGAGCAATCAGCTAGCTGTCTTGCTAACATAACAGTTAATCCCTTTAGTCAGCAAATACCCATTCCAGTCTGCTTGCTGTAGAGATAGACAGTCCCCACGCAGGGATAACAGCCAGCTCAACCTTTGGAGTTTCTGCAGTGTGGTACTTGTGACCCACCATGGTCTGGTGACCTACAGCCTAGACAGGTTATCTGAATGCTGTCCTTCACCATGGCCTTTGCTGTTAATTTTGTGTAGTTGAGTATCTCTTTGTCCAACCCTTCTCTTGTCTGCCTGGGAGATGTTGCTCCCAAATTACTTGCTGATCATGTCAGCGTGCATTTCCTAGGTTAATCTACCGGGGATGATAGAGTTGAGCTGAACACTGAGTCTCATATTTAAGGAAAAAGATTTTTAAAAAAATTCTGTGATAATTTTCTCCTTTTCATGCTACAACGCTTTCTTCCTGTCAGGTTTTTGTTGTTGTTATTGTTTTTGTTCATTTTGGTTTTTCAAGACAGGGTTTCTCTGTGTAGCCCTGGTTGTTCTGGAACTCACTCTGTAGACCAGGCTGGCCTCGAACTCACAGAGATCCACCTGCCTCTGCCTCCGGAGTGCTGGGACTAATGTGCTACCACTGCTGGGCACTTCTAAGATTGTTTTTAATGGTTTATTATTTTCTTAATTTTGTTCCAGGACCATGCTTTTGATACATCTATTTAGTTTCACTAAGCATGTTTAATTTTGTTGGTTTTGTCTTTTTTCTTTTTGAGACAGGGTCTTGCTATGTAGTCCAAACAGGTTTGAGGTTCAAATCCTCCTACCCCAGCCTTCCGAGTTCTAGGATTACAGACACACATCATGAGCCTTCTTTACTATTTTTTCTCTGTAAATGAGGTTCTATTTTATTTATTTTTGATGTGTGTGTTGTATGCATGCCTAGATGTTTATATGTATGTGTGTGTGTGTGCACATGAGTGTGTGTGCACATGTGTGTGTATATGTCTGTATACGAGTGTGGAGGCCAGAGCTCACCAGTTTGGGTCCTGGTTAACTAGAAAGCACCAGGAATTTTCCTGTCTCTGCCTCCCTGGTTCTGGAGATGCAGGTGGACAGTGACATGCCTGGCTTTTTGCATGGGGGATGGTGATCTAAAGTCAAGTTCTCATGCTTGTGTGGCAAACACTTTACAAACTGATTGCAGTTTGATTCCTGTACCCACAGTTTCAGGGGACCTCGTGTTTTCTTCTAGTGTCTGTAGGGACCAGGCATGCACAGACATATATGTAGACAAAACACCTATACTCATAAACACAAAAAATAAAGTATAAAATACAAAATATTCACATATACTGAACAAATACTGCCCAAGTCTCTCGACCTCCATTACTTTGCTCCTCTCCACTCCTGTTTGTCCCTAGGCATTTTCACTTCTGATTTCATTTTATATAAACACACAAACGCACACACACAATTTTATGTGACTATGTAACATAGGGCCACTGATGAGAAAACCTACATGTCTTTCTGAGACTGACTTTGTTTGCTTTGATGTGACTGTCTTCAGTCACATTCATTTTCCTGCAAGGAGCCTAGCTTCGTTCTAGTTCGTGGTGGAACAGTTTGGTGGTGTCCTTTGCTGTTGGCCACCTAGGTTGTTGCACAGTTTAGCCATTGAGAGCAGCCCTAGCGCCACTCTACTCACCCATCTCAGACGGTGACGGAAGATCCCTTGTACTGTGCGGCCAGTGCAGCCCCTGCTTTTCTGTTTATGGAAAGTACCGTCGTCTCTGGGAATTGTACATGTTAGCGTTATGAACTGGTTTTCTCCCTCGCGTAGTGCTTTTGGACCTGAATTTATTTTGTTTGACATTTATCATGTAATTCTTTCTTTTTGTTTGGTTTTTCTTTCTCTTATCTACTCTTATTATTTTCACCATTTCAGAATGAGTTTATTTTAAATGTGTATTTTTTATATAGCATGACTTGTTCTTTTACTTTCTGACCTAAACTTCCTCTTTCTTTTAATTTGTAAGTGGAAGAAAAGAAGATGTAAGTCAAATGGAATGAAAGATCAAAGTACATGCGTGAGAATGTAAGGTACATTATATACATGTAAAATAATGGAACTGTCCATTGTTTTGCACAATTAATATACAAAATAAAAAAAACAGATGAATGGCCGGTATATAGATAAAAAGCTGGTTATTACTTTTGATATATTATTATACTTTTAAAAATTGTTAATTTTGTGTGTGCACGTGTGTGTATGTAATCCCTACCACTCACGTGGAGGTCAGAGGTCAACTTCCAGGAGCTGGTTTTCTTTTTCATATGTGGGTTCCAGGGACTGAACTGAGTGAGGTCATCAGGCTTGATAAAAGCGTTTTTACCTGCTGAGCCATCTCAATGACCTTATGTATTGCTTTAATACAAACATGCAAAATATACATTAAAACGTGATGTATATTAAAATTTGTCTGTTTTCTTCTCTCCCTCCTCCCTCTTTCTCTTCAGGACCTCACTCTGTAGCTCTGACTGGCCTAGAACTCATTGTGTAGTCTGGACTGACCTAGAATTTGTGGCAATCCTCCTGCTTCAGTTTCCTAAGTGCTGAGATCACACCTGTGAGCCACCAGGCCTGGCTGCACGTTTTAAAATTGATGCCAAGATATTGTTGATGTGTTCCTATCACTTATTCAATCTTTCTGCGTGACTTTCTGGGAATTACAGTGGTAGCGGGGCTGAGCGTAAATGATAGGAAGATCAACCGAAAAGCAGAATGTCAGCCTCAGCCATAGAGTAACCTTCAAGGTAATTTAATGAATCAGAAGTTTTTATACAGTCTCAAACCTTCTGGGAGGGGAGCTAAGGTGTACATCCTGCTCCAGGCCGATTCCCAAAGGGGGCGTGGCTGTTATTGGGGAGTAGCGCCTTGATGGGGAGCAGATCTGTTTTTATAGAAGACGCTACACCCTTGGTCGACATCAGGCTTAACAGTTGCTCAAGATCAGTAGATAAAGATAATGGTTTCTCTTGTTCCACTAGGAGGCTTGGTGCTATTGACCTCTACACTCCACAGGAGTGAGAGTTATCTGAGATCTGGTGAGGCTGACATTCAGCGAGCCATGATTTTCAAGTCAGGTGAAACTAATCTATGAGAAGTGTGAGAACTTTCTTATACCTCCAACTTGCAGAGCAGGTATGATTGTTTGGGATGACTGTGTCTCCACAGACCTCAGATTCCCTGGGGATCTGTGCCAAGCCCTGGGCTTACAAGTGGAATTGCATCAGCAAGCTTGTCCCACAGACTAAAACTACATTCTCTGACTCAGGTTTAACAACAATAAACTGAGATTTGAACTTGACCTCATTTCTCTCTCTGAACTCAGAACATAAATTATCATGGTTCAAAGTCCAATAGTAATCAAGTCGTTCCTTTGTTACTATTCTACAAATAGTTACTGTCTATATGATCCATGTCTCTCTCTGTGTCTCTCTGTGTCTCTCTGTGTGTCTCTCTATCTCTCTGTCTCTCTGTCTCTGTCTCTGTCTCTGTCTCTGTCTCTCTGTCTCTCTGTCTCTGTCTCTCTCTCTCTCTCTCTGTGTGTGTGTGTGTGTGTGTGTGTATGTGTGTGTGTGTGTGTCTGTCTGTCTGTCTGACTGTCTGTTCAGGTGCATATGTGGGCACATATGGAGGCCAGAGGACAGCCTGGGGTGTTATTTCTCAGATGATGTCCATCTTTGTTTTTCCATTAAAGGATCTATCACTGGCCTGGAATTGGCTAGAGTAGCTAGCCAGGGAGCCCTTCCCTCTCAGCTGTCCCCTCCCCCTCTTACCTGTTCCCTCCCCCTCTCAGCTGCCCCTCTCCCTCTCAGCTTTCCCCCCCTCAGTTACCCCTCCCCCTCCCAGCTGCCCCTCCCTCTCCCAGCTGCCCCCTCCCTCAGCACTTTGAAGATGCAGGTGCTGGATCTGTTTATTTGGTCTTTCTATGGTCTATTTCTCCTGTGCTGTTCAGCTTGAGTAATCTCTAATGTCCCATCGCCCAGGTGACTGATTCTTTCTTCTGTCCCATTCATCCTATTAGTGAGCTTTTTAATGTCGACTATTGTACATTTCAGGCTTTGTAGCCATTGGAAAACATGAACTCTTACTTGTTTGTAGTTGATAGCTAATTTTGATTTATACACCTGATCCATGTATTATTGTTCTCCCACTTGCTTTGTGGTACATAACCTCTAAGACGTGGATATGATTGCCTAGGTTACTCCTCAGGGACCTGAAGGTCACTTCTGCTGAAAGCATTGACTTGTCACCTGGGCAAACAGATGACTCAAGAATGACTAAGACAGTGACTCAAGCTTGGTATTGCTGCCTCTGTATTGTATCAGCGTCCTCTGCTGTCTTAACCTTTGGGCTGGATTTCCACTCAACTCTTCACCTCGTCATGTTAACCATTTTAGAAATGTCTTCTCTGGAACTATACAATTAATTTGACCTAAACTGACTTAAGCCTTGTTCCCCTCCAGGGCTGATACCATCAAGATAAAGGCAGCTAAGACAGCATGCCAGCCAGCAGCTCCTTCTTGCCTATGGTTCCAGCTCCCTTTTCTTTCCCTGTAACACAGGGAAACACACTTTAGTTCTCCAAGAGTCTTTGCACACCAACCATCTTTGGTTTGATGGCTTTTTAAGTAAATCTTTTTCCTTGGTCCAACAACCTGTTCTTGAGCCATTGGCACCAGGCATGTTTTGGTAGCAATACTTTAAATATGTATCTTCCACTTGTTCCGTAATTTTTGGTGTTGGAAATGAACTTGGGGACTTACACACAGTAGGCAAATGCTCTTCCATTGCACTGTATTCTCAGCTTGGCTCTTCATGCTTTGTTTGCTTCACCTAGGTTTATCATTGCTCAATGAAACATTTAAACTAATTATTCCGGAATATAAAGAAGTAGGTGACATTGTGATATTTTTTGTGCATATATCATTATATACTTTGTTCTTATTTGGCCCCACTCTTCCCTATCTCCACCCTTTTTCCACCCAAGTAATTCTCTTTTATGCTAATGAAGCCCTTTCTTAAACTATAAGGGCCTTAAGATAATGCTATGTCTCTATCGTCTTGGAACTGAGTGTTTATGTTGATAACAGTCCAGCTTGAGATGTTCTGGGTTCTTGGTATGGTGAGGGCATTTTGATTGATACCTGAACATTTTTGCAGTGTGCTAAGAGACTCTGGGTCTTACCTAAGCCTTCTATCTTAACTAAACATTTTAAAAAGATAGCATTTGGATAGGGAAAGACATGTGTGCCTCACCGCTGCTAGATGGTGAGGAAGCACAGATTTCCCATTTGGCCTCCAATGGCGCCCAAGATAATGAGGGCTTCACTGCTCTTGGGCCAGGCAAGCTTCTGTGGGTGCCTGGGGAGCCTCATTACTGGCCGGTGGGTGTGAGATCCCTGGGTCCCTCCTTGGCTTTTTCTGGTGCTGGCCCAGGGTCCAGTCTTCTGGATACATGAGAGTCCACAGTTTTTATTTGATGTTTGGCCTGCCAGAGTGGTCATTGTCTGGATGTTTCTGTCTTGTAGGTTGTCTCTCTCTTGTTTGTTTGGCTAAAGAAACAACAGTCTTTAACTTGCACTTTTTTTTTTTTTCTTCACCAAGCCTGGGAAATGTTAGGCAAAAAGAAATCACTAAGCTGTTTCCTGGGACTCTATGGTCCTTGGTCTGCCTATTCATTTCTTCACCTTCCAGAGTCTTCTTACATTAGTTTTTATACTTATACAGGGATTTCAGCTATATATAACAGAAGGAATAGAGCAAAGTGTTTACTTTATTCTCCCCAAAGCAGAAGCCTCCCAAACATATGTACACACACACACACACACACACACACACAATTTGTCTCTGCACACTGAAGAGATTTGGTGAAAAAAATCATGAAAAGGGTGTGAAACCACTTATTTGGGGGAAGCAATCTCAAGCAAGCAAGAAACGTCAATTTCCTTTTTCATTCCTTCTTTCTATTCACGCAAGCTTCCAATTGGCTCCATTCTTAAAGCTTCTTCTTGTCACAATTGCCTTCTTGGGGACAAACTGCCAGCCCATTATCCATTGGGGGACACACATTCAAACCACAGCAGTCTGTATCATCCATAATTCACAAGTCAAAACCTACCCCAAAGGTTGATGGCACTAGAAGGTGTCTGAGAAGTGATGAGGTCACGAGGACTCTCCATCATGAGAGATCCCCGAGACGTGGCTGGCCTCTTATTTCTGTGGGATGCAGAGACAAGGTATTATGAGGAGGCAAGAGCCTCATCAGACGTGGAATCTGATGGTGCTTTGATCTTGTCTGTAAGTCACCTAGTCTAGGTGTTTTATTATAGGAGGCAGAATGGACTAAGACACAGGGGTAAAGGGTGTGTGCACTGCCTTCTTCTCTGGGGAAATTCCCTGCTGGACTGATGGGGTGAGGTAGGTACTTTGAACCAAAAAACCTAGGTGGGTAGTGCTGGATGTGCCTTGGACTTTCTACTTATTGCTACTTTGAACAATTAACACCGACTACTATTTCCCAGTTATGTTCAGGGGGTCTGGCTTTGGAAATGGCTGCATCTTACCACACATGCAACTTTCTTCTGTTGCCTCATTACCTGTCAGTGATGACTACTAAGGCTGAAAAGAGCGATGGGCAACTGTAACCAACAGATCCTTCCAAATGTGTCTGGGTGAAGACTGAACCTTGGTTTGCACTTTCTATATGGAGACTACTTGTAATACTCTGAAAATATCTAATTAAAATACTGAAGAGACAGAGCTGGGGGTAGCTCAGTGGTAGAGCACTTGTATAGCATTATAAGGCCCTGGGCTGGATATTCAATTTTTTTCTTTGAGACAGATGTCTCTACATAGCCCTAGCTGTCCTGGAACTCATTATGTAGATGAGGCTGGCATCAAACTCACAGAGGGCTGCCTGCCTCTGCCTCCTGAGTGCTGGGATCAAAGGTGAGCACCACCATGCCTGGCTGGTTCCTCATCTTAACAACAACAATAACAGGAAACTAAAGCATCCCCATCAACAGAAAAGAATGCGGACTTGAAAACATTCAAATAAATTTATTCATTCAAATGAGACTGTGTAAATTATTGGCACTTAAGGGACACAAACTAGGCAAGGCTGTAACATGAGTTAGATTTCATTATTGGTTAGGGAACTGGCCTAGGGAATCCATGGCAGGGACAGATTTCATCTCTGAAAAAGGGGGTGATGGACTAGATGTGGTGTCACATGTGTGCAGTCCTAAGATTCAGAGAGCAGAAACAGCAGCAGTAATTCGAGGCCAGTCTGGGCTACATGAGAATGATCATAACGCCCCTTCCCTCCAAAGTTAGACAGACACAGCAGCTTATGCTCACGATCCTAGCACACAGGGAGCTGAGGCAGGGGTACTGAAGCAAGTGTGAAGCTGGCCTGGGCTACACAGTGAGACCCTGTCACAAAAAATAAACCAAATGAAAAAGGAAAGTATAGTACAGCCCCATTTTTAAGGATATGGACAGCAGTCATGGGGACACACACCACAGGTTTTGCTGAAAGAGGTGGAAGTGGGAGGATCACAAGTTCAAGGACAGCCTGGGCTACACATTTAAAAGGGGCCGGAGAGATGGCTCAGTGGTTAAGATCACTGACGGCTTTTCCAGAGGACCAGGGTTCAATTCCCAGTATTCATATGGCAGTTCACAACTGTCTGTAACTCCAGGATCTAACTCCTTCACACAGTCATACACACAGGTAAAACACCAATAAAAATAAAAACCAAAAAAATAATAAAAAAAGAATACAGACTCTGGAATTGGAATTTCTAGGTCAGCAGTCAGCAAAGCAGGGCCTGACCAGCATGCTCCCTGTTTCTACAGAGTCTAAAAGCTAAGAATTTTTTAAAACATTTTTTTTTACTTCAAAGTCAAAAGAATGGTATGTCATGAAAATTATATAAAACGGTAGCTGTAGAGCTCATAAGGACTTTGAGTGGAACACAGCTATGCTCGTCCCCCTGTTGTGAAATGACAGCACAATAGAGTAGCCCAGACAGACTACATGGTTCCAAATGTGTTCCTTGTTTGGCCCTTTACAAAGTTTGATGGTACTGGCTTCAGTTTAAATCCAAGCTTTTAAAATCATATCACAATCCTAGGCAAGTCCCAATATTTCTGAGTCTCAATTTCCTCACCTCTTGAACGGGATGGCTTAATATTAATAGTTATTAAGTGGGTTATATAAATCAATATTTGAAAAGTGCTTAAGACCATACCTGGCATGTGGTAAACATGTATCTGAAAATTAGAGGATTTCACCCTGTTGAATTGGCTAAATATTAAGGAATATTATCTTTATTTTATAAAAATTATTTCTTTTGTGGATAAAATATGATTTTAAAGTTGAACTTAGATGGATATTTGATTTCACATTTAGAAACTTAAAAGAACTCAACATCAAAATATTAAGTATCCCAGTAACTTAGTCTTTCTCCAACACCTCTGGGACTATGGTTCAGGCTCTGTGAGGTCTTTGGCTTATATCAAAGCTCTCTAGGATCTACAAGGAAGACCTCTCCAAGTATGGGAGGCAGGATTGTATGTGGGTCAGTGTCTTGCATTGATTAAAATGTGTGTGTGTGCGCGTGTGCGTGCGTGTGTGTGTGTGTGTGTGTGTGTGTGTGTGTGTGTGTGTGTGTATGTGTGTGTAGAGGTCAGAGGACAGCTCTCAGGGGGAATCAGTCCTCTCTGCCACTTTGTGGGACCTGGGGATTAAATTTAGGTCATCAGGCCTGTGCAAATGCTGAGCCATCTTGCCAGCCTCCGAGGATTCTGACTTCCCAGATGTTTGTAAAACAGGGTTAGTAATATCTTTTTCATGGGAGTATTGTGAAGATTATGATGATTGAAAGTGCTAATGCTCACCAAGTGTTTGGTGTAACACTTAGGGTTCAACATGCATTTCATAAGCTTCAGTTATTATTACAACCATTCTCCCAAGAGCTTGGCATAGTGAATTACTGCTGATCAGTTACTAAACTCCTAGTGGAGCAGAGGCTATGTGTGTGGTGTACTTTGAGTGCTACTGGGAGATGCTTTCCTGTTTCCCTGGTGTTCTGAAATCCAAAACATTGCATGCTTTCCTTAAACACTGCTTTTCCCAGAGAGCCTCCTGTTTAAAGTGTTCATTTTCCAAGAGGGTGTCCTTTTCTCCTTGGTGTGGTTAGTTTATTAGATGCTAGGTTTTTCTTCCTTAAATGGTAGCCTGGGATCCGTGGGGGACACCCAAGAGCTGGGATTTGTTGTCAATTCGAAAATAGAGGTTAGGGCGTCTGAAAGATATCGACAGTGTACTAAAGAAAAAAAAACCTGCACAATATTCTGCCTTGTTCAACCACTCTAGCTGTAAGGGCAATTTCTATCTTCCTAGGGATGGATTTACACAGCCTGTATTCCTCAAGTAAGGCTACCTTTGCTGCAAAGATCAAGCCTGCCCCAGGGCGCCACCTGCTGACTGACTGCTTTCGCTCCAGCATTCCGGGTTGGGACTGTCAGGCCTGTAAGCACTAATCTCACCCGAGCCCATCTACCCGCACTCTGAACCCCTCCTCTTCCCCACGGCGCCTGGGTCTTGTACCTGGGTGAGACATCAAGGTTTGTTTCCCAGTGACCTTGAGGTTTGGCAGATGGTGGAGCCTGAGGCTTAGGTTCCTAGTCCTCCGATCAAAGGTATTTCTTGCCACGTTTTCCCAGCTTGGAGCTGAGGGAATCAGGCCACCATGACCTTGACCAGTAGTGACGTTGGAAGGAGAGAGGAGTGACTCACTGCCCCGTCCCCATCCATTACCGGTTTGAGGTCTCAGAATGCGTAGGACCCTATTTTAGTCACCAGCATTTGTCATCATCCGGCGCTATTTTCCTCACTACCTAGGCATGGGAGAGGAATTGGGGGCCAGCCTCCGTCTCCTTGAAGGCTGTGACGTTGGAAGGGGCGGGGTGCGGGTGGGGGTGGGGGGTCACAGATT